TATATATATATATATATATATATATATATATATATATATATATATATATATATACATACATGAGCCACTGTGACCGGATCATTAATACTCATGACTCATTGATCCTGTTGCAGCAGTTCTCAAGTAATATTCTAGAGGGGTTTTTGCACCGAGGAACCTTTTCATAGTTCCTAGAACTACTGGCAGAAGTTCCCGCATTTTGCCATGCTAGCACTGCAAGAACTAGGAACCTATTTAGTTCTGGGCACTCTGTTTGGGGGAAACTAAATTAGCTCCTACTTCAGAGTAGGGTCTAAAACAGTTCTATAGGAACTACCAGTGACTTACGTGTAAGCTGATTGGCTAAACGCATACGAAACACTGGCTACCCAGCATTTTTAAAAATCTGTGTCAAAATATTTTCTTCACAAACATTGAAAACGGTGACAACGGCCTGTTGTCTGCAGCGTTTTGTTCTTTTCTCAGCCTTGATGATAACACTGCAAGTGGTCATATGAAATTTAGTCAGATTTTCATGCTCTTTCAATCGCGTAAATTGTGCATTTATATGCCTTAGGGATGCACCGAATGTTTGGCAACCGAAATTGTTCGGCCAAAAATTTCAAAAGAAAAAAAAAAAGCTCTTTCGGTGTTCGGCCGAATAAGCGAAAAGACCAAATAAATTGTGCCGAACAATGACGTGACGCGATCAAATAGAGGTGCGCACTAATGCAGCAAACATGTCGGCAGTGTGGAAGCATTTAAATGTGCCCGAGAAAGATGCAAAAATCATTACAAGCACCAAACAGCGAGAGACTGCTTAGTGTTGCATGTCTCCGATGAAAAGAGGAAGGGGTGGTTGTTGCTGCTTACTGTATGATGATTGAAATCACGAAATGGCTTTATACAATTAGTAAATAATTTGCAGAATGTTATGTTTTCTAATACATGCACGAATTGCATGCATTAAAACAGTGCTGCACGAGCTCGCGGCGTTATTTGCTAGCCAGGGTTCAAGCGCGAGGAAAATCTGTGCTGAAACAGTGATACTCGTCAGTTGCTCAGTAACATTTTTATGACAATTTTTTAAAGGCATGTGACAATGCGATACCTGCGACAAACACCATTTATAAATCTGCTGTTGTCAACAAAAAGAAGCACTGAGGTCTTCCTGCGGGTTTCTGCCCAAATAAAAGCTGAGAAAAAGCAAGAACTCCATCAACATTCATAAATGGTAGTAATTTTTACTGTTGTTCTGTAAAATAAAATAAAAAAGTAAGACAATAATAATGATAATAATAATTACAACAACTCTATTAATACATTTATTATAACATTCACACATAGTGTTCAAATTGGGATCTGTAATATTTTCTAATGTTTTAAAAGAATTCTCTTCTGCTCAGCAAGGCTGCATTCATTTGTACAGTACAAAAATGCATGCCTGATTCAAGAAGGAGGTCTCAAAAATGGCCAAAAAATATTATATTACTAACTTATTAATTTTAGGTTAAATTGTGCTTTGTTGGTATAATGTCTGCTAGAATGTTAAAAAATGTTCAGTGTTAAGTAAATATTTTTTAATTGTTGTTTTGTTATAGATTTTTTCCTTTGAAAAGCAAGACAAAACCGTAAAAAGCACATTTTGGCTATTTAATGTATGCAATCGTGAAAGAAAATTGGTGAAACACATGCAGGAAAAAAACGCGAAAAACTGTGTTCGGTATTCAGTATTTTGTTCGGGTTCGGCCAAGAATTTTCATTTTGGTGCATCCCTATTCCATCTCTGTTATCACAAAACCCTTGACACACGACGAAAACAACTCCGATCATGATGTTCTTCAATCACTGGTTGTTGACGTTTGTAAATGCCGCAAATGAACACATCGTTATCGGCTGCTTCAGAGAAAATTGGTTCTCTAGGAACCACCATGCTGGCTAGTTCCAAGAACTACGTGGTGCGAAATTTAGATTAGGTTCAATCTAGCTTTTTTGGAATAATAGTGATTACCAAAAAAAATTAATTGCACTTAAGCCTTATTATTTCATTAAAAAATGGTTGCAGTACAATGACTACAATGGAAATTTGAAGAGAAGGATTCTCTTGAGGAAAACGGCATCTGCCCAACAACTGTCCAAATCATCACTGAGCCAACCAGTAAATCAATGTAAAACACATAGAGTGCAGGTGTATGTCTCTCAAACATTTTAGCTTCTGCTGTCTGATAAGGACCTGTCTGGAGTGTCTGGAGTGGAGTGTTTAAGTGGTTGTTCACTTAGCAGTGAAGTGGTGGTACTACACCAGATTCCTGGAGAAGATATGGATCTACTGTTTCCTCTCCTCATCCACTCACTCTCAACACTGCCATGTCCCTGCTCCAGAAATACTAAGCTGATAGTTTATTGATATACAAGCCTGAAGGTTTAGCTTTTTTCTTATTTCACAAATAAACTTTAAGGAACCAAAAATGAAA